CCCTGAGAGATGAGCTCGACGAAGATGAAGAAAAAAACCACAGGATTTGTCCTCCAAGAGCTGACATCGTGGAGATTTAGTTCACTTCAGAAAGTGATGCTTTACCAAAGTGACATTGCAGATATTTAGATGCTTTCACGAAGTGATAGGCTTCCCTGCTCATTTAACCGCCCGGCTTCATGTCCTTAGCAGTATCAGAGAAACCTCTCTGGTAGGGCTGCAAATTGAAAGTTGTGTGTTGTGGGCTGGCTTTCGTAAATGGAACTGTGACCTCAGAGAGGTTAAATGATTAATTTGTCATGGAAAAGCAGTGGGGTGGTAGCACAGGCCAGAGAGAGCTGAGGAAGCTGCCAGCATTACATCAAGCACTGCTGCCGCCCAGTTGGCATCTCTGTACATGGACCTGGCTTGGCACAGAGTCTGAGATGCTGGAGGGGCTTTAAAGGGCCACACGTCCAAAACTGAGGTTGTGGAGAATATGAATGAGAAGGATGGGAAATAATAAAGAAAAGGATCTTCAGCTCCACAGAAATCCCAGAGATTAACCCACCATGGCCAAAGTGGATCCATAAACGATCACCCATAGGGAGCCATGCAGGACACAGAAGCCCCAAAGACAGCAAGGACACACACCAGCTTCACCTGGCAGAAAACCCAATGGCTTAACATGTGACATCATCTGCCAACATCACAGAAACCACCGCAGCAATTAACAGACCTGGTGCCTGGCAGCATCTGCTGGAGATGATAAGCATCGCTCAACAGGAAGACTTCAGCCATCAATGTCCAAGCTAGTCTCATTCACTTCTTATTTGAAATAACTCATCAGAAATAATCCGAATAATGAGTAAGAACAAAAGGATTGCATTCACCCTAGAGGAGCCCCTCCTAGGCTGGCACACAGGCAGAAGTTTCTCAACAGAAGAAAAGGGGATGCTATAGCCAGCATGCTCAGGGAGTTTCAGGCAGAGGGAGGGAGCCAGCTGCCCCAGCCTCTGGCTACAGCACAGTGGCTGACAGCCCTGCTCAGGTACTGCAAAAATATAGCAAAATCAAAGATGCAACAGCTTGAGACCACACATCCCCACTGCTGCCTGTTCCAGGATCTGTGTCCCCCCAGGATGGTCTCTTGTCACTTCAGATGTGCTTGCTCCTCTCCTTTTAGCTTGCAAAATTTGATGATGCTGATACAGATGCAAATAAATTAGGCAGGATGTACGTGCTTCAGTGTCCACATGTGTTCAAAGGGCATTTGTGTCTAAACAAGCATCCTGTGAATGTAGGCTGGGGCCTGAGAAATATCTCCAATACATCTCCCTGCAGTGCTGCTCTGTTGAATGAGAAGAGGTGGTGGTGGTGATGAAACACCTCTAAACATCCCACAGAAAGGATTAGTAGGCACCAGTGGGCTTGCAGCATCACCTTTCCTGCTTGCCACCTCCATCCCCATCTGACCCTTCTGCATAGCAGAGCTTCACATCCAGAGCAGAAAAGCCCTGGATGTGTTTGAGAGTGTGGGGCAGACGCTGTGCAAGGTTTGAAGGTTGCAGAGGGACTCCTCCAGCAAACATAGGGGCAAGCAGCATGCAGGAGCCCCGTCTGTGCCTGGGGAGTGCCGGCAGTGCATACCTAGCTCAGGGATGTGCCACGGTTCAGTGCTTTTGGAGACATCCCTAACAGTACCACTGCAATTATCCTCCTGTTTAGGTGTCCCTGAGGAATGGAGAGTCTCTCATTATCCAGAGGACTGAGAGTTTGAATGCACAGGGGATGTCAAAGAGGATTTTGAATCCAGAGCCCAAGGAACGGATAGCCACCCATCCATCCGCCCGTCCATCCAGCTTCCCACTAATGAAGGCAGCCGTAACAAACCACTCCAAGCCAGTGGAAAGGAGAGGAAAATGCTCTAAGCTCGTGAGGGGTTAACCCGCTCTCAAGCATGGTTCAGTGAAATTGTCAAAAAATCCCTTCTGACAAATTGCCTGAGAAGAGAGAGAAAAATATAAAGAGCCGAGCGCATGGTAATGATTTCTGAAAAGTTCCCCAGCACCAAAACGGCAAAAAACCATTAGCAAAGCAAATTGTATTTTGTGCGCATAATTCACACCAGAACACAGAATCCGGGCAGCCTCGCTTTCTATTATTAACGGGACAGCATGCCAAGTCATCTAGAAAGCTCTCCGTGCGCCGTGGTGACGCAGGCAGGGATCGGCTCCGCTCCCCACTTCCAAACCGGTGCCGGTTTCCGCTGAGCATCCCAGGCTAGGAGGTGCTGCGGGATTCACCATGGGAATCATCTCCCGTCCCTAGCGCTGCGGTGTTTCCCCAGGCTGCCGTGCCCTCTGTGGAGGCTTCCCTGTGCAGAACGGCTTTCATTAGCGCTGGGAGTGGCCCTTCAAAGCAGGACAGAAGCTTTGACAAATCTCATTTTCCTTCTCTTTTTCAGTCGCGGGATGAGTTCTCTAAGCTTTGACCATGCTGCTGGGGAGCCCGGGGCTGGATCTTTGGTCATCCCAAGCCTGGCTGGTGCCTCCCCAGCCAGCCAAGCCAGTCCGAACCACTCCTCCCCTGCTTCTGGGGCTCTTCTGCAGTGCTCCCCAGCTGACTCAGGGCCCAACCAGACAGATTGACTCCAGACACTCTCGGACAAACAGCACCCGGCTGGCCGGGCTCTGACACATTCCTGGCTTGCCCCATGCCCCCAGGATAAACAACACTCAGATGAAGTCGGTGTCTGCTGCTTGCAGAGAGTTTGTCTGTAGGATGTTGGTTAAAAATATCACCTGGGCTCATGTATGATGCTCAGGGGGTGCTCTAGGGATGCTGTTTGCTCTGCACATGGCTGGATCTGCTCTGGCACACAGGGCAGAGCATTCGGCACTGCTGCTGTGTGGTTCTATGGAAGCATCGCTGCTCTGCCAGTTGCACAGCATGCAAACCCTGCTTTCCTAACAAGCTCCAGCAATGAAACAACTTCTCCCCAGCTCCCTGAGCTCATGGCATAGCTATAGCATGCCACAGCCCAGAAAAAGCCTCCAGGCTACAGCCAGAGAAGGCTCCTACTCTTTTTCCCCAAGCCCCTTGTGGGTCTGGTTCTGCTCCTCTCCTAGCCCCATGGCTGGAGCCCTGAGACATGGTGCCATCCTACAGTGCCAGGATGCAGCCCCAAGACCACCCTCAGATGGGTGAGGGTGGTGATGCCCATCACAAAATGGTCTTGAAGGTCTTTTCCAGTCCCGATGATTCTATGATTGTACACACCATGGTTACCAGCACTGGTAGGATAGAACCTGGATGATATGATCAAAGTGGTTGAATGGTGGGATCTGGTGGAGCCAGCATGGTAGGACCTGGTGGAGAGGCATACAAGCATGGCATGTCAGGTGTATGCACACCTATCAGTCTTCATGCTGCTGTGTTTTTCTGTTCCTCTCCAGCTAGGTCATCACCAAGCTTCCTTCTCCTTCCCCAAAAGCCCCTGAGAAACCCTGAGCTTGCACCCCACCAGATCTGCAGGTATCACCCTGAGGTTAAGCACAAATACTGGGGTGCAGACTGATCACACAAGCCAGGAGATGGTGTGTCCTTCCTGCCAGCAGGTCAGGGGCTGATGAGGAGGGTCCTGGGAATAAGGAATGAGGTGGGAGCTGCACCCAGCACCTCCCTGATCATGCACTGCCAGAACTTGGCCACTCCTGCTGCTTCTGAGGCTGGGAACAGCGTCAGTGCAGAGCAGCCAGGCTGGATTTTGGTCAGGGAAAGGCTCTGTAATTCATTACCTATGCCCCAGGACAGGCAGGATCTTAATAAACACCTCCTTTGAGTCCTGTAGATAGAAGTTACATGAAAATTACCTACTTTAAAAGAACATTAGCATTTCAAAGTCAAACATTAGGAGACAGTGGAATACAATGCTGGCGCACACTGGCAGGGTTGTGCTTTGCCTCCTTATACACACTGTGATGTTTTTCATCTCCCTGCTGCAAGTTGTTCCCGACAGGATGGGCCACAGGGCTGGGTATGGGACCTCCTGAAGCACTGCTGGGTCTGGAAGAACAAGTGCCTGCACTTCATTATTTGGCATCAAAAGAGTGATGGAGCAGGTTAGGTAACAGCAAAGGACAAACCAAGGTTGTGTTCCTGGGTCTGGGTGATCAAAAAAGCATTTCTCTGTCCAAGTGTAAGTTCATGCTGCGTGTACATCCTGAACAGCCCTGACTGCCTTGGAACTCTGGTTTCCAAAGCACTTGGCAGAAGAAAGATGGAACTGATCAGGGCTATGAAATGGCCACTGTTGGGAAGAAGCTGAGCTAAAGAGATCTGAAAATGTGATGGGAGAGGACTTGGGAATGAATTTTCCCTATGAAGCACTGAGGAATGCTGAGTAGCTCAACAAGTGAAATGATGGAGCAGTGGGATTGACACGAACTAAAAAGAGTTGCTGGGGATTACGTGACCCTGTGGTCCCGCATAGGTGAGCCCAGAAATTGACATAAATTACCAGCATAGATATCCATCAAGGAATCAAAACCCGAGGTGCTGATACAATCTCCAGCTTGGGAAGCCTCTTACCAGAAGCCTGCTTGCTGCTGCTGGAGGCTGTCATCACGGCAGCCAGATCTGTGGGCTCACCTTGCTCACAAACCCTTCCTCAGCATTTTCCAGTATCAGCCTGTGGCAAAGCTAAGACATGAGGTGCTCCCTTGTGCTATTCTCACCTTCCCACGAGCACACTTCCTAATGAGAGATGTGGCTGCAGATAGAGGCCTGCTCTGAACCCACTACAGCGAGGTGTGGTGCCTTAGATAGCAGAGAACAATACCCAAAATATCTCTGATCAACACAGCTGGAAGCTTAGAAAAACCCAAATAACATTTACTGATGGAGAAACCTTTCTGGCTTTGGTCATGTTCCTGGGAAGGAGATGGTCAGCAAATTGGTGGCTAAAAGACCCAGGAGGTAAACAAACCAGCTTTGTCTGCATGTTAATAAGTGTAAATTGGGCGTCAATAGTGTCAGACTGTTTGCTCTGTTCAGATTAAGGCCATTTTACCTTTGTAATTAAAGAGAAGGCAGCCCTCCCAGCACAGCAGCATTCACAATGCAGCAACCCCCAGTTTGTACAGAGATCCCCATTTACAGGTGACCCAAACTTCCTTTGCAACCCCATCCCGAATTCAAGGCAAGCAAAGTATGATCCACCTCCTGATAGGCTAATTACTCCGTGTTTCTCAAGACAATACTTCAAGTGCTTGAATATGGCTCTTTTACCTGCTCATCTACCGCAGATATGAAGATTGTGTTGTTGTCATATACGAGTTCTAATCTCTTATCTCTGCTCTTTTATCTTTGCCACTCATTTAGCTGTGTCTAAGGTTTTTTTAGAGCCTTGTCTGCTCGGGAGAGCCTGGTTCCTCTGTGTGATGCCCTCAAGCACTGCTGGCTCGTGGCAGGGTCTCGGCAGCCTCTGCAAGGTGTGATATCTCTGGCACGCTGCATTGCCCACCCGGGGCATGCTCTGAGCACTCCAGCAGCTTGCTTCTTTATAAACTGGGTGATATCCTCAGTCCTTCCCTCCAGGACTCTTGCTCAATCCTTTGCTCTCCAGGCTGTGCCAAGATGAGGTTTGCATTCCTGAACTCATGCACAGTGTGTGGTGCTTGAATGCGGATCTCTCTCCATGGTGGTCACAGCAGCTGAAAAATGACATTTGGAGGGGAAGAGGGGATCAGCTCAAGGTATCTGCAGGGCCAAGATATTCACAAATCATCCACCCCCAGCTCAGCCCACCTTCACATACAGCCTCTGGTTGCGATTTGTGTTCAGGATTTCCCCACTCCTGCTCTCTCCGCCTGCTGCCCAGCAGTTGGAAGCAGAGGTGCCATGGGGTCATCCCCGTCCCATCAGGATACGAATGAGCCACGCACGGTGACAGGCTGCAGAGCCCCAGGAGAGCAGCCCTGCTCTAGGGCCATCTCCCCATGTCAGGCCACATTTCTGCGCGTGGAGCCAGCAGGCAGCTATCAGTGCTGGGATCGCTCCCTGCTCCACGACACAAACACAGCAACTGGGCAGGTTTCCCTGGGCTCTCCGCTCCAGCAGAGCTGGGGGCTGGAGGTGGAGTGGAGAACAGATCTGAGGATGCCTATGAGTTTTTCTCCCCCTCCTTCAAATTAAAAAAATATCCTGTGCATCCATCTAGTCAGCTAAGGGAGGCATTTTCCAGCCGCCATAACAGATTTAGAGTGAGGAACCAGAAGATAAAATAATTTACTAATTGGAAGTGGCACCAAACATTTTGCCTCTTGCCCCTTCTGTGATCTCGGTGGCAAGTGGCTGGCAGCAGGCCAGGAGAAGGAGCAAAGGGACAGTGAGAGCAGAGGGATGGCCGGGGTGTGACGCCAGGAGACCCACCCGATCACTCCCCGGCACCCTGTCGCCTCCAATTAATGCGAGCGATGCCCATCAAAGGCAAAGCTGGGTGCAAGCCTGAGGAGGAGTGACAGGGTTTGTGCAGAGGAATTTCACACAACAGCCCGAGCATTTTCTAGCTCACTGAATCGTTTTGCCTTTTTTTTTTTTTTTTTTTTTTTTTTCAGATGGCTTTGCACTTGGCAGACCTCAGCAGCCTGGCGCATGGGGTGAGCGTGGCTTTCTCCACTGCCAGAAGAGGCCAAAAGTCTTCATTCGCTCATTCAGCTGCTCCACAACGTACGTTCATTTATTTACTGAGCCCCGAGCTCCACAGCAAATTATGCTGCAACATTCAGAGGGCAGTGAGGCCCTGGCACTGCTGCCCAGAGAGCAATGGGTGCTCCATCCCTGGAGGTGCCCAAGAGCGGTCTGGATGGGGCCCTGGGCAACCTGAGCTGGTTTGGGGCACCCTGCCCACAGCAGGGGGGTAGGAACCAGATGATATTTTAGGTGCCCCTCAGTGTAAGCCATTCTGTGATTCTCTGCTGAGGGAAGTCAAGTTAGAGCTGATGGTTGCAGCATCTGGGGCACAGCACCAATCCCCCCACACAGGGGTGGTCTCTCAAGCACAGCAAGCCCTGGACAACTGGGCAGTGAGATCTATGAAAATAGGACCGATCTGGGAGTCTGCACAAGGCCATGCCCACCGTGATGGTCATGTATCCCACACCCAACACCTGCTCAGCAAGCATTCAGCTCCTGGGATCTCTTTCCAAGATGCTCTCTAAAATACGGTCCAAACACCTCCCTGTGCCCAGAGGACACAGACCAGACACTGGGCACCTCTCCATGGGGTATAGAATCAACCTGACAGGTTTCTGGAGCTCAGAAGCATCCACCTGTTCCCATGCAAACCCAACAACTGAGTTTACGGATCCATGACATTTCCAGCAAGTGAAGAATGCAGAGCCCAACCTGCTCATCTGAGAGAAACTCCCACAGGAGGCTTACCCACAAGGCAGCCCGAGGTGGCATTTGTCTGGTTGGTGACAGAATGGCACTGTGGAATTCATCTGCTTTGCTGCCCTCTCCTCCCTGCCCGGCATGGCTCCCAGCTGCAGGAATGCTTGTCTTAAGTTGCCATCTAGGGGAACAGGAGAAGGCAGTGGCTCAGAGGTAGGTTACGAAATGAAGCACACCGAGAGCCCGCAGGTGCTTCGCACAGGGAAACAGCGGCCACATAAACAGCAAGAAAGAGTGAAAACAAAATGAGTTGAGATGCCTGAAATACAGCTGGTGGTGTAATTGCGAAAACAAGCCTCTACTTTGGAAGCCTTAGGGGGTGAAATGCGGGATTTCTTTGCTTGGTAGCTGAGCAGGTTGCTCAGCCACAGTAGGGTGGTTCTTTGGAGCGGGTTTAGGGTCCAACACTGGGCAACACTTCAATGCAGGGTCAGAAAACTGCTGACATCTCCCAAGATCTTTTCTGACTGCTATGGCCACCCTGGTGTCTGAGGGAGCCCCTTCCCCAGCACCGCCCATGGAGCGGTGGGAACGCTGCGCTCAGGCGAGGTGTACCAGTGAGGTCCTACACCCAGCTGCCTTGTTTTGATGAAAGACGAAGATAAAGAGGGAGATTAAAGCAACGAGAGGTCTCCAGCGAGGCTAAATCCAAGTTAAACCCAGATAGGCATGCAGGTGAAAAAATAAATCCTCCGGCCTTAAGAGCAGAGAAAAAAAATACGAGGAAGGAGATGAGAGAAAGGAGTAAGAAAAATAGCAGAGGGCAGCAGGTAGCACCACCAAGCAGTGCTACATGAGCATCCCAGGGCACTCCAAGCTGCAGCCCTTTGGGAACCGTGCTCCATCCTACTCCTGAGCTGCGCTACTGTGCTAGAAACGGCTCCCAGCTCCGCAGACAAAAGGTTCCCTCTATCTGCATTTATAAAGTGCTTATCACAGTGGTGTCTCACTGCTCTGAGCCCTTTCCTGGAGAAGGGCAGAGCTCTTCTATTGTTGTTGTACAAATAGCTTCCCCTGCCAGTTCCTTTCCTTTTAGGCTACTGAGTGGAGCTTGGCTTGGCTCCCTCTGGACTAATTTGATGAGAGATAATTATCTTGTTAATATCATCTTATTTTCATAAGCCCCAGCCTCTCTTTTATTAATTCTGTCAGTTCCTGGTTGTGTTGCTCTTAGGTCCGTGCCTTTTCAAAACAGTAGATCAGGCACTTAGGGGAGAAAGTCGGAAAAAGAACAACTTAACTCAGAGAATGTAAATATTGACATTTTTCACAATGGAGATCCTTTTTAATCTGCTCTTCACTGAGCTGGCCCCTGTGGGACACTGTCTATGGGGGGGTGGGATGCAGCAGGAGATGGGTTCCATGGGGGGGGGGGGGGGGGGGGGGGGGCTAGGGCCTGGGACCTCACAATGGGTGACAGAAGAGTGAGGGCAGAATGCTGGGAGCCTAAGGAGGGGTCAGGCAGGGAGAAGGCTCAGGACACACACCAGAGTGCAGCCTGCAAGGGTTCCTTCTGTGCCCCATCTCAAAGTGCCCAGGTGGTGGATGGAAGGTGGGAAAGGAACACAGATGTGGTTGGTTTCAATGGAAAGGCTCAGGTTCAGTGAGCCACGGGGAAATCTGTGAGCACGAGGGTGTGGCCAACGTGTCTGCCCAGGAAGATGAAATCTATGCAGGGAGAGAGCCAAATTCCACAAAATGGTTCAAAGCCTTTCAGACTTCATTATCCCTTGCAAGAACGTTTGTGGTTATTCCTAATATTAACTGTACCATTGTCTTACCTCACGATCATGCAACAAGACTCATTTTTAAGCCATAACACAGAACTGCATGATGTCAGGGCACTGTTCCTGTGTTCTTGCCCTGCTCTCACCAGCACATCACAGAGGAGGACCCCGCTGCCCTCCTACCCCCTGCCTGCCTCCCTCACCAGCAAGACGTGTTGTGGTGCTCCGACACTCTTGGGGGGCACACAGGATGCTCTGCTGCCTGGGTGTGTGCATCTCCACCAAGGCTGAGGAGCTCTGAGACTTTGTTGGGGCATAAAGAGAAAGATTTACATCAGAGAAATGGGGAGAGATTATCTACCCCACTTGGACAACTTGAATAGGATTTTGAGAAAGTCTACCTCATTAATACAAGGAGTGAGCTTTCTTGTAGGACCACATCAGGTACACAGGGCTTGCTTTGGATCTGGGTCACGGCCCAAGTGAAGCAGAGCACTCACACAGATGCTCAGCTCTAACCATCACCTTAAAGCGAAGTAGGTTCTCAAGCGCTTTTCTGAATCAGGACATAAACGCAAGCCTCTTCTATTTGACTTGACTCTTCTTCAATAACACAGATATCAAACTCATTCAGCAGAGAGGGAGGGAAAATGAGTGGGTCGGGCAGACTTCCTCTGCTAGAAACTGAATTACATTAAGCCTGCTCATGACTGCTTGCAGGAAGCAGCTTTTTTATTCTAGTTCGTACAAGTGCTCACACTGTGCCTGTCGCTGTAGCATCCAAGGGCTTTCCAGCATTGCATTAGACAATGTGACTAATATCTGTAGCATGCTCATAAGCCGTGGATTTTGAGTCCAGAGCTCAGGCTCATTTATTCAAGGGACCAAACTCTTTCTGTGGCAGAGTGCAGAAGCATGTTTTCAGGCAGAGCAGATGTACTTATGGCATTTAATCACACAGACAAGAAGAATCCTGTCCTTTAGATGGTGTGTCACACCCCAAGGTAGAGTGCCTTTTCACTCAGTCCTTTGCCATTCCTTACAGTTGAGGTCACCCTACAGGCTCTATTGTGAGGAGGGAAGGGAATGAATAAGCCATTAGAAATAATAAGCACAAAAACGTATCAATACTTCAAGTTGTATTGTGGGAAGGCTCAGGGGGATGAAATATTCAGATAAACAGCCTTGAGTCGATAATTTGACCATTGTGGTGAGAGAAGAAGGAAAAAAGGAGAAAGATGAAAGGATGTGCAGTACAACAGGAGGGACTGGACTCAATGGTCCATGTGGGTCCCACACAGCTCAAGACATGCTGTGATTCTGTGACAGGGAGAGCAAAGCAACAGTGTAAAGAGGGTTAAAAAAAAAAAAAAAAAAGAAAACCTGTTTGTTTTCCCGACTCCTTTGCAGATGCAGACATAGAGAGGATCACAGCTTGGCTTGTCCCTGCTCTCTGGGCAGAGCAGCGGGGCTCTGGGGGAAGCTTACTCTGTTTGCATAGTGACTGCTGTCCTCTTGAGACACCAGGTCTGCTGCTTGGCTGCAGCAGCTCAAAGACACATCTACAGAGAGGCAGATGCCAGCCTTGCTACTTATCAGGCCTGGAAAGGAGCTGGTAGACAGGATACATCTATCTATAAATCACAGCATATCATGTAAGCTTACTGTATGTACTAACACATTTAAAATAGGATGTAGGATGGGGGAAAAAGAAGCAAGCAGAAACTTCTGGCTACATCCCTGCAGCTTGCTGAGGCACTGCAGCACACAGTTTGATCCCACATCCCTAGAGACAGCATCCGTGTCAAGTGGGCACAGCATCTCAACCCCTGTCACCGTGCTTTGGTGCAGCACAGACATGACACTCATCTGCTCGGTCTTCATGTCAGGGGGAAGTTCTTTACAGACTGAGTGGTGAGGTGCTGGCACAGGCTGCTTAGAGAGGTTGTGGATGCCCCGTCCCTGGAGGTGTTCAAGGCCAGGTTGGATAGGGCCCTGGGCAGCCTGGTCTAGTCCCCTTTAAAGGGGAGGTTGGTGGCCCTGCCTGTGGTGGGGGGGTTGGAGCTTCATGATCCTTCATGATCCTTGAGATGCCTTCCAACCCAGGCCATTCTGTCATTCTGTGAACTCCAGCATCTCCAAACAGGAGCCCCAACCTCAGCAGCACCTCCTGCCTAGGAAGGGTAGGTGCTGCAGAGAAGATGAGATGCTGAAGAGGTGCAGCACTTCATATCTGTGAGCTGAAATCTTTGAAGCTGAAGCTGTTTTATTTTTAACCTACAACATATCCACAGCTGGCAAGTTGCTTTGTGGCCTTCTCTGGCCCAAGAATACTCTGTGGCAGAGGGATAGCACAGGACCATCACCAAGGTAAGTCAACACCCTGAACTCAGAGCAAAACCCACATGGAAGCAGCAGTGAGGTTACCAAGCCAACAGCTCGATGTGATGCTGCTGAGCATGAGCACAATCTCTTACTTTGTATTTCATCCTCATTTTTTATTGCTGCCTTATTTACCAGCCACTGCCCACCATTCTTGCAACAAACAGAGAAATATTAATGTCCTCATCTGCTTTTCTATGAAACTCATCGTTCTGGTACCCAAGTGCTTCACGGATGTTCATGAATTCATTTGCACAAGACTCCGTAATGCAGAATCAGGTTTATGAAGATTAAATAGACCCATTAGTTTTAGATGCCCGATCTGAGACACCCAGTCCCTGACATTTTTCTCCAGTAAGCTCATTACAAGGACGGGTTTTATTTTCAGAGTAAAGTTCCCACTAACTCTGGTTATAGCGCAACTCTAAGCCTTAATTCAAGCAGCAGAGCCTCCAGCCAGATGCTGGGAAGTGGAGAACACGTGAGAAGTCCCAGGTGAAATATATGGTGTACACAAATTGCTGGCTATCAGATGGGAGCAAAGATAAGAATTACACGTGGTTCTCCAGGGCAGCATCCCATCTCATTGGTCCTTTTCCCTTCCCATGGCTTGTCTTCTGCCTCAGCACTTTCCCAGTCTGGTAGCAAATGAAAGGTCCACAGCACCCAGCAGGAACCCTATGCTGGCACAACCGCAGCTACATTCCCAGGGCTGGATCTGGCAAAAATGAAATTGCAGCTGCGCAAGAAAGAGTGAGCCACAGTGCTCATCCAGAAGGCACCTGAATTCCAGCCATGCAGATGACCTTCACTGTTGTGTACTATTGTGAAACCTCCATCTTTCTTACTGACATTTTCTGGGGACCTCAACAGAAGAAAATAGCAAAAGGAGAATGCAATCACGCATCACCAGATTAACTCCCCCCCGGCTCATCCAGGGACTTGTGCGTGTGCCACACGGTGTTGGCTGCTGCTCTTCTCCGGCACCGTTGCTCCAGAGAGCAGCTGCCCCCAGGCCATGCCACATGCTTGGTCATTTCAAAGCCAGCTAGAGAGGATCCCAACATTTTCAAGAGTCTGTTTCCTGAAGGGAGGGAGAGAATTAATTCCAAACAATTTATCACACAGGCAGCACAGCAGGTGGCAAGCACAACGCTGGAGACCAGTGATCAAAGAGTACCCAGTGGGTCGGTATCTGAAGAGACCAGGCGTTTCCTAATAATGCACACCGACTGCTGCCGCTCCCTGCACGGGGCATCAATCATTTTCCTGTTGGTTATCATTTTCTATCATGTGTCTCTTGTGCATTTTTAATTGGTTAATTACTTTATTCATACACTAAGCACACCCTCAAGCTCCAATTATTATCAGCATTAAGTGCTCGGTTCACCCTATACATCTTTTAAATGCTATATTTGGCTGTTTCCTGGTCCGCACTTCCTTCTCCTACAATACCATGGGGGTCCTGCGGATGCCTGAGCTAGTCCTTTGACAGCCCATAGCCATCCTGCTCATTAGTGTGTTATCTAGCTGCTTATCAGCCCCACTCCCAAGCTCCTCATTATGGCAGATGCAATTACAATAGCAACATTCCTCCTTTCAGTCCGGTACCTCTTCACTTACAGCAGGCCGCTGCTATTCAACTTAACAGCTCCCCACAGCAACAGTAGGTTGACTTTCCTCATATAAGCCAACACCTACGCTGCGTTAATGAACAGCAGAGCTGCTCATTTTGTTTGTTCACACTTCACTGTGGGTATTGTGCATTATATCTTCTGATAAAGGCTCTGGCAAGGAAATCCAACCCTTCCTCATGCTTGCTGCTGCTCCCTGCAGAGTGTGGAAGCCCCAAGGAAGGGAAATTTCTCCTTTCTCCAAAGGAGCTGAGCACATCCACCTGAAGGGAATGTCCAGAGGGCAGGATAAGATGACAGGAGCCAGACCCCAAAGTATGATGGCAGGCTGGGGGCTGCCAGAACAGTGGGAACTGCTGGTGCTGTGTGGCAGGGCTGTACTGGTTTAGAATTCTCACATCACCTTTCTCCCCAGCATTTAGAACCATAGAATTGTTAAGTTTGGAAGTGACCACTAGGAGCATCCAGTCCAATCATCAACCCAACCCCACCGTGCCCACTAACCACATTCCTCCATGCCACATCTACCCTTTTCTTGAACACCTCCAGGGCCTCCACCACTGGAGGCATGCTTCTTTCTAGGGGTGTTGGGGAGTCTCAGTTCCACCATTCCTGACATGCTGAGAGCTGATATACCAGCAGGCGCTCCCAATGGATGTTTCTTCTATCCAGCATCACACAGCAAACAAAGTCAGCTCTCAGATCTAACCAAAGATGCCTTTTTCCTTTTGCAGAACTCACTTCACTAAGCTCGTGGCTGCACAGGTGGGAGATCTAATGCCTCTTGCAGGAGAAGCTTCGCCTTGGCTCTCTGTTCTCCCTCTTATGGATGAGGAAATCAGGAGCACAGCACACAGCAGTGCCCTGGTCCTTTCCAGCAGGATCAGTGCTGTGTCCACAGGTCAAACCTTGTGCTAGAAATAGGGATGGCTGGGGCACTGCACATAGGTCTTCTGGCCTTTCCCATGCCCTGCTGGTCCTGGGACAGAGCAGCCCACATCCAACTGGAACAGCAGAGCCATGCAGACGGGTTCTGTGGATTTCAAGCACTGTCTTCTCTGCCTGCACCATAGTCCTGTGTGCAATATTAATTATCCATCTAACACCGTTGCCATGGCACTTCTTAAAGCCATCAAAGCCAACGTAAGCATATCAGACCTCCACCCCAGCCTTCCTATTTGCTCCTGGACTTCAGCCAAAGTCCCAGCGCCAGGCTTTTGTGGCAGGGGGACAGCACAAGCTGCCCCAGGGGTCACCTAGCACACAGCACAAGAAAACTCCAGATTTGGACTTTTGGAAGTTGTGCCTAATTCTGAAACTGCATTCCTAGGATTGACTATATCCAACCATGCCCATTTTTAGGTCAAGCTGCAAAATTACTTTTTCCTTATCACAACATTACCCTATCTTTAGAAGCTAAAAGGGATGATTAGAGTTATAAAGGAGAAAAGAAGGGGGTGGGGTGTATAAACAGATTCAAAGCCTTGAAAAAGACACAAATATGAGATCAAAAGAGAATGAGCCAAATTCTGAGTACCCTGATATATGCAGCATTTACATCCTGAGTAGCTGACACTTAAGAAACCCCACAAGCAGTGACAGAACAGATCTGAATCTTTCCCTTTCCCACCCAAATCACAGCCCAAATGTCCCTCTGAGAACTGGGAGGAGGTCATTCAGATTTAACGTGAACTGGGGGCAGACACCAGAGAAATCATGCCCAGTTAAGGATTTGTTTTAGGAAAAGCTTCATTTTCCCCATCAGAACCCTTTCCTCCTCCCCACTGAAGCCCTGGCACATGTCCTCATGCTGCCTGGGTACCCCATTTACAGATTCTGCTATCAGTGCATGCAGAAAGCAGAGCAATCCCAAACATTATCTATACCCAGCATCACAATCTCAGCATCAGGCTGACCTTCAAAAAGCCATGAGAGCACAGAGAGGCCACCAGGGATGCAAGCAGGAAGGACGTACTTCAGCTCCTTCTGTGAACTCAGTGATGTCTGTTTGGGCAGCACAGTCCTTCGGTGCTCAGCAAGCAGAAAAGTTAGAGTATCCATAAAGTGTATAGGCACCTCTATGTTTCTTTTTTTGTCCCACACAACAACCCTGCTTGCCAGGGGATTGCTGCATGGCCAAACCAAGGAAGCTGGGGAGAAGACCAGCTCTGAGGGCACAGCTCTGCTTCCCCAATCTTCTTCTGCTTCTTTGTCCCTTCATAATAGAGCCTACTTTCCTTCTGCAGGAGCTGGAAGACTCTTCAGTGCCCCACTCCACTGGCTCTCCATGTGAAGAGAGCTTCCTTGATAGCCCTCAGTGTGAAGGAGCATC